CCCCCCAAAAAAAAAACAAACCCACAACAAAAAACAAAACAAAACCCAACCAAAAAAACAAACAAAAAAAACAGTCAACATCACCCACTACCGCACAGGCATTTTTACATTATTATTTAACATAATAAAACTCGAAACAATAAGATTCGTATATATACATCGGGCACGGACCTGTACTTTGTACTGACACCTTACGTAAAACCTTGTGAAACTGTGATGGTCGGGTTTCGATTGGTGGAATACAGGGGTCCGTCAGCCGACAGCTGTTTGGTCGATAGGGGATCACGTGACGACAGAGCCTGGTTTAATCCTCCCGTATCTCTGTCTATCTATGTCTCTACTCTTTCTCTCTCTCTCAGTCTCTCTCTCTCTCTCTCTCTCTCTCTCTCTCTCTGTCTCTTTCTCTATCTATCTATCTACTTCTCTCTCTCTCCCTCCTCCCTTTCTTGTTTTTCTTTCCCCTTTATTGTACTAAAATGATAATTATAATATGCTATCTTTATTCTTTTTTTCCTTCCTAAGCCACCCTAACCCTTTTCCTCCTGAAGAATTTGATCTCTCCTTGTCATTTCTTGTCCCCCTTCCCTAATGACCCCCTTTTCTACATAACTTTATTCCGAATTTCGTTCCTTTTTCTTTTTTATTACAGTAATGCTCTTCTTTTTTGCCTTCGAATATACAAAGAAGAACCAGTGATATAATCGTATAGCCTAGACGTCTATAATGATAAGAGAAAAAAACAATCTGAAAATTGTAAAACAAGAACAAAAATACACACTTCCGCTGTATCTGTTTTTGTGTAAGATAAAACAAATCCCAAAGAAACAAAACAAAAGAAAACAGAAACAAATCAACAGGCAATCGCACCAGTTTGCACGTTTTATTTACTGGAGCGTCGCTGTCTCTCTTTATTGACGTGTGCAGAATATTATTCCAGTCTCTCTTCCGCTTGTTCCAGAGCAGACGACACGGCACAGCCATCTACCGCTAAAGCGTCGATACGGTAATTACACATGCAGAAAAGGTTCTGCGCTGGTGAGTTATCATTGCATGCCATTATTACCCTGTGTGGGAGGTTTAATCCATAAAGGGGGAGGGACTGGGGAAGTGGAAAAAAAATCAACACGTTTGCGTCGCAAAACAGTTATTCTTGGCATGTAAGTACTAGGGGGTAATTAAACTATTTGGGTTAATAGTAAAGAAATAATTTTCAAGAGGTTGGTTGGTGTGTGACTAGATCTGTGCTATAATGTTTGTATCATTGTAACAGGAAGTAGATATGCTGCATTTCTCTAGTGCCAGAGGTTTCAAGCTCTGTTTCAAGTGCCCTGAAAACTTGACAGAAGGGAGTTACACGAAAATGTGAAATACTATGCCACCACTTGAAGAGAACATAAAGATGATCCCTCTTCCCCTCCCTTTTTCGGTAACATCACATGTGACAAAGATTTGAAAAAAAAGGATTTGTATTTGAATACATGCAATGACGAAAAACACACGACTTTTGGATTGAATCTTTAAATTATAATGAGATAGCATTTTAATTAAAGAACTTGTGCGATTATGTGTACGTGAAAGGCAAACGCGTCATGACTTCATAAGCTGATTACTGCCCTGCCATTATGATTGTACGTGTTCTTCTCCTCAATCGACAAAGTTTAATTATATTTAGGAGGTGGGCTTCCTCAAGTCTGCCTGATAGAGCCAGACTGTGCTGAAATAGTTGTTACATTCCAGCGGAGTCTAACGTGTAATTGGCATTACAAAAAAATACTTTTCATTCCAATATTTGTTTCTATTTAGTACATTCTGCTCCACTCTGCACACAGTATCGTGATCAATTTTTCTAAAATCAAGTTTCGCAACGAAACTCTGACAGGGACACTACATTTTAATCTCATTTGAAAATATGGCATCCTGTCAAGCCCAAATGGTCCCACCTGTTCCATGATTTTACAGTTTGAACTGCTGGTAACAAACATGCGTTACATAGACAAGAACGAGTTTACCATACAATGCTTTCTTACAAGTAGGGTCTATCTGTTGATCTACCAATTAACATACGACGAGAATGTCGATACACAAAACAAAACAACAACCGAAGCATCTTTGCAAAAAAACATCACGTCAGAACACCATTGAAACGACCCAAAAGGATACAAAGAGAAATTATACACCGTATTATGCTCATGGTACTTTATAATTTTAGTGTTGTAAAGCGACATAGAACAGAAATGTTACACAGATGAAATATAAATAGTCACAATATTTGAATATGAAACGATATCAAAGAACCACAAACACTAGTTCCGATCGCTGTAGAGCTTTGTTTCGTCTCGGTATCGTTCTACGGTGACGTCTTCGATGTCGTTCTGTGTCTACTAATGCTATTATGGATTCCCCTCCTCCCTCACCCACGCACTCCCTAATCTAGCGACGCACGTGAGTTGTCTCCCTTCCTGCTGCTCACGACAACGCCAGTGGAAGCACGACAGCAACTAGGGGGAAACAACTCCTGGTAGGGCGGTCAGAGCCCGGCGCGAGAAGGCGAGGTAGGCTATATAAATCGCCCACCCCTCATCCCCTCCCTTGTTTGTACAACGGCTGCCGTCAGAAAAATTAGTTTGGCATCGAAAGTTTAAACAATCAACAGACACAAGGTAAAACGAGTAAGGACAGTTGAAAACTTTTTGCTAAAACTTGAAAAGTAAAAAACAAACAAAAAACAAACTTGAAAATAAAAATATAAAGAACTCGAGGTACCAGAGAAAAGATCCCTGCTCAAGTCAATTTTCGAAAAGGACTTTTGAAGAACTCTTGAGAATCAACAGTTGTTGCATTTGGTCGACGGCGTCTATAATCTGCTCAGCTCCAGGACATTAACAGCAATCTTCCCAGGTAGATTATTTAAATGTCATGTTGTTTTTGTGTTGTTCTCACAATGTAGCATTACTATCGTCCTCACTTGAAATGTCGTGTGTGGAGGTGCAAAGCCTCTGAAGCTTGACTTGTCTAAAGAATCATTAGGCTGACGATAACTAATTATCATACGCACTTCACAGATCACATTTTAAAAACACAAGCGAAGAGAAGATCTATTAATTCAAGTAGAACCTAAACACGAGAAAGTGTTACCATAATAATAATTCTATGTTATATCATTACCTTGCAAACAATACATTTTCATATACCGTCCATAAACTAGCAGATAAACAATCTTGCAATATCTCTATTGCCGATGTGACATTAGATCCATGAAAGAGTAAACAAACAAAATTCATTTTTTTAAACTCTGCGAATTCTTTAAAAAAAACATTTTGCCTTTCACATTTTTTAAACATAAGATCTTGATTTTTCACGGATGTTCCTTCTCTTGCTCAGACATTCATTTTTTTTTTGGAGAAACAGCGGGGAATTTAAAAAGTATTCTAATTCCTTTTCCTTTCCATATTATGTTCTGCTTAAAAGGTTCCATGTATAACCGAATATTTGGCAATACTTGAATCAATTTCGTTAGGCATTGAAAATAATATAATGTCTTTTTATCTGTATTGTCGTTTAAGATATTATTATTAGCATTATTATGAAATGAAATAAATGCACAGTTTGAGCTACAGGAATGTAAGAGGAAGTATAAATGTGTACAAGTGTGCATTATAATAATATGCGTCCTTAAAAGTTTGTGTGTGTGTATGTTTGTTTCTGTTTTTTGTGTTTGCATGTGCGCCCGCGCCCGCGCGTACGTATATGTGTGTGTGTGTGAGTGTTGTTGTTTTCTGTCGTGTGAGTGTGTGTGTGTTTGTGTGTGTTTGTGTGTGTTTGTGCGTTTGTGTTTGTGTGTGTGTGTGTGTGTGTGTGTGTGTGTGTGTGTGTGTGTGTGCACCTGTGTTCATTTGGGTGTGTGAGTATTTGGGAGAGAGAGAGAGGAGAGAGAGAGAGAGAGAGAGAGAGAGAGAGAGAGAGAAAGAGGGAGAGAGAGCAAGAGAGAGAGAGGGAGAGAGAGAAGTGGGAGGGGGAGGGAAAACAAAAAAGAGAGACAGAGAGAAAGAGAGAGAGACTGAGAGAGAGACAGAGAGAGAGAGACAGAGAGAGAGAGTATTTTTGAGTATGTGAGCGCGTTTGTGTGTTTGTGTTTGTATGTGTTTGTATGTGTATTTTTGTTGGTTTTTGGGTCTTCCTATATGTATATAAAGATGTGTGTAAAAGCGTGTGGGGGGTTGGGGTTGGGGGTGGGGGAACGTCCAAAAGTATTTTTAAAGATGTGTAATTTTACAATTTCTTTAAGCATTACACAACAGACAGGTTATTTTGTTTGGGGGGGGGGGGGTCTTTGAATAACGTACATATTTTTTAAACTGTCTACTCTGTCTGTATGAATTTTCTTACAAAGTCGGGTTTACCAATCCCGCCAGTATTCTAATTTCGCTGCAACACAGCTAATATGCCCCTGTCTCAATTTCTACCTAAAATAAACCAAACTTCCTGCCTAACCAAGAACGTAAAAACATGCTGAAAAAAAATCTTAAATATTAGTCAATCAAATAGGTGGACACATCAGCCAACTAGACACAAGCTCTTGCATATCGGTTCTGGAGCTAGACATCACGTCAACTAAGAAGCTTTCAAACAATAGATCAGTTTCCTTGCGAGAAAGATATAATAATTTATAATATTAAAATTTACTATTTACCACAGAGGCTAAATTTGACAATTGACAGCAAAAACGTCCAACAGAATATTAAAAACTTAAAATTCAAATAATTTGACAAGTTAACCGTAAATTGACCTTCGAGACATAAGTTCAGAGTTCTTTGCTAAGCCATGGGTATGTGTCTCAAGTTTGTCACCGATGCGTAGTTATTTCGTCACAGATTCTGTGTGTATCATCTCACCATTGAATTATTTATTTTGTGGCCAAAATGGTGGTTTAAAAATATAATTAGTGGTTTATTGAATGACGGTATATTGACTGTAAATACGATACATGCGCACGTTATGAGTCAACTTGATATTCAGTGTGACATTTAAAACTTTTAGGAGACAGAGGACTGGCCCCAGTGGAGAAAGCGACGCCGATGAACGGCATACGCAGACCTCTGACTTTTTAGGAAATAACGTCTGACCAAGTTTAGACAAGAACCCCCAAACCCGCAATCTTCCTATTACGGGCCCGGTAGCCTTACCACTGTGCTACTGGCGCCACAGAGATACAACATCTTAGCAGAAAGACAGATACTCAATAAAAATTCTCCTTCTTCGGGAATCGAACTCCGGTCTCCAGTGTGTGACTGCGAAGTGTCTGATTGATACACAACAGACGCCGATACAGAATCCACAGACATGGGACGGTTGGGCAAGAAGCATGTAGCGAAATCGAAACTGCTAAGACAAAACTGGAAGAACTGGTTTATGATGAAAATTAGAATAAGAATAACGTGTGTAGCGAAAATCCCCGCTCGACAGCAAGCTCTGTGCGCTTTATAGTACATTAATTAGCAAGATCATTTATAAAACATCCTTTATTTAGCTGGGAAATGCCCTATTAACGCTGGAATCTTAGATACAAAACTGTGATTGTGCATTCATCAAGGGGGGGGGGGCGTTGTTTTGTTTTAGTAGAGGTTTTACGGCGCTCGCAACTGCATAAGGTCATAATATGAGCGCCAGAAGATTAGAATTGTTACAAGGGGGGCTTTGGAGAACAAGACGTAAGGCCACTAATTGGATAGGACAGAACTGACACAACCGATCCTACTTGCTACAGCGTTTACTATAACTATAGCTAACAATAACTATCAAAATCAATTTGTTCGTTCTCGTCTACCCCCCCCCTCTCTCTCTCTCTCTCTCTCTCTCTCTCTCTCTCTCTCTCTCTCTCTTTCTATAGTAACGACGGACAGTGTTTATGATCGACATTTATCACAACAAATCTGAACTCAAAATGTGACCTAAAGTGTTTTTGCGCACTGGAAAAATATACTTGCTCTTTTATGCTTCTAGAACACTGCTAGAGTTAGTTTAAGCATTCGTGCAGTTTCAGAAAAAGGGGGGAGGGAGTGGTTTTGGTAGGTTTTTGGGTATTTTTAGATAACCACAATAATAGAGACGATCTCTATGTGAAGTCCGAAATCAGATTTACGCTCCGAAAAAAAAATTATCGCAACGCACAGACATTTTTTACTGTATCCTTTCATCAGAGAAAAGATCATTACAGCACTGCTGACCTTTTTCTTTTCGTGGGCGAAATACAAGAATCCCTGTTTTTTTACATTTACATATTGTACTGCGTCTGTGGATGTTTCTTTTTTTGGCCTCGCGAGTCAGGGGAACAGGCAGGGGGACCTTGTTGATGATGTGTGCTTGTGGACAATAGGAAGAGAGACGGGAAAAGCTGACCACAGGCTGAAAACCGACCCTGTCCCATTGTTGGTTTATCTAAGTGTGGGTGGCGAATGACGTCCCTTTTTCGCCTTGTGGGGACAGGAGAGGGATTTCCGATTCAGACATCATGGCGTCAGTGTGGTGTATAGGGGGTTCCAACATACCAAAAGTCAAAAGAAGAAAACTTCCACTGAGAAGAAAAACGCGTAACTGGAAAAGCGTATCCAGTAGAGACATATTGGTTTACTAATCTAAGAGCACCGCAGCTATGAACAAATGTAAGCTGGAAACGTTTTCGAAGAATGCATGTTATTAGGTAGTAATAGATGTATGTACACACTTTATTTTTCTTACATACGTTAACTCAAGCAGCTGAGAAGCGTGAAGCCCTTTCTTTATTAGCTCACTTAACCTTTATCTCCCAAAATATTGAAAGGGATTTTGTGTTAACCCTATAGGGCAGTTGCCTTAACCGGTTTTCAGGACAGCCTTAAGCAACTTCAGCCGGAAAAAAGTTATGAAACGTTTTGCTTCTGCGTAATTGTTGCCCAGCGTGGGAAGGCTGTAATCACATTGTTTCTAATTAACGGACATCATCTGTGGAGAGCAGTTTGATTTTTCTTTCATGAAAAGGTGACAAGAGAGCGAACACATACTTTAATAGTGTGCTAGCGTGCTGAATGGCTTGAAAATTATGAAAAAAGTAAGTAAATAGACAGAGAGAGAGAGAGAGAGAGAGAGAGAGAGAGAGAAGGGGGGGGAGGGAGAGAGATAGAGAGAGGCAGACAGACAGACACACAGACAGACAGACTGAGGGAGAGAGAAGGGGGTGGTGGAAGGGGTAGAGTTACCTGGTGGATTTGCACAGAAGTGATGGTAATAACAATGTGATTCATACAGATACATGATATGGACGTTGACGGCAGATCGTGACTGTATGTACACGAGAGACGAAACCTAAGAAAACTATACTCAACTCAATCAAAAACGCCTCACTTTTCAATGGCACGAATCGTTTATCAAATTATATGTTTGATGAAATGTACATAATGTGAGCTATTGTCCACATCTGGCCATTAGATAAGCATTCTTTTGTTGGTGTGGTCATCTCTCACTTTGCGAGAAAACGCGTAAAATATTATTGCCTACATTTTTTTCTTATTGCAATGAATCGAACAGGATTGCTCTACACATCAGCACGTAATTGTTGCGAGAAAGAAAACGCGTTCAGTTCTTAAATTGATCTTTTTGTGAGGTAGCGTGGTGGAATAGGCTCTCGTCAAAATAATCAAAGTGAAAAAACTTGCATTTTTCCAGGTTTGGGAATTTTTATCAAATTTTTATTTTTTGACTCAACACCTTTCATGCCCATTAAAGAACTCATTTCTGTGTGGATTTTTCTGAAAAGCGTTGATTAAAGGCACAAAAATGTAAATTTACCACGGACTCTTAAGCTAAGGAAATAACTAATCTTTGGCGGCCATTTTCTCACTAATTTTGCCTCTGAAAACAGGTGA